TGGCTCGATTCCACACGCGAATGGATGTATTCCATTGCTTGCGTGCGATTCGTCAACCTCGTCGCTCAAGGATAACCTGAACATGCGATTGAGGATAACGTACTCCTCGTTACGCCCAGTTTTGCAAGAAAGCCGGGGGTGGGTAATTCGTGTAACGGGAAGTTCCCGAAAGAATGTTAATACTCTTAAGGATCACCCGATCAATATGAACAAAGTGATGAACATTAAGTCCCCTACCGATCAGACTAATTGACGGTGGGCCTCGTTGGTTCGTCGGTTTGTGCCGAGCTGTGCTAAGGGATCTATAAGCAATTTTATATGCCTACAAATACTAATTAAAATGAACAAAAATTTTAAAAATTGATACAATAACAAATTTTCTTCTCGTATAGGTAAATGCTTTGAATGCAACAAACCGGGACACTTAGCCAATGATTGTCCTAAGCATAAGGAGAAGTATTTGAAATACAAGAATTTCGCTATGTTCGTGCACTCAACACTTTCATAGTTAGAGTCCGGATATAATCTGGTCAAACCTTCATATAGTTAGGACCACAACCAAAATCTCCTCTCGATTCCCCCAATAAACGAGAGGTCCACAAATCGAGCGATCAAACCTTCCTACAGTTAGGATTGTCTCAAACCTCCAAATTGGTCAAACCTTCTTACAGTTAGGACCACAGTCAAAATCCCCTCTCGATTCCTACAAACCGGGACACTTAGCCAATGATTGTCCTAAGCATAAGGAGAAGTATTTGAAATACAAGAAGAAAATAGCTATGTGTGTCGGATGGGATGAATCCGAACCAAGCGATTCGGATAGTGATGATGAGGGTGCCAAGATTGCTCTTCATGACCGGAACATTTGCTTCATGGCCAATGAAGATGAGGTACAATCCGAAACTGAAAGTGAATCTCTTTATATCCTTCCTACAGTTAGGGTCATCTCAAACTCCTGCTTGGTCAAACCTTCCTACAGTTAGGACCAAGACCATAAATTCACTCTCGATAAACGAGAAATTCACCTTCAGTTCGGTAATCAAACCTTCTGACAGTTAAAATTATCCGAATTTTTCGATTCTTAGAGTGGAGGTCCCACTCCTAGTTTCATCTTTCCGGATTCTGGGGGTGGAGATCCCACCCCGAGTCTCCTTTCCAGCTGAAGATAGAATATAAAATTCTTCTTCTTCAGTGTCGGGAGATAGAATATAAAATTATTCCTCTCCCATTTTCGGGTTCGTCTTTGCCCCAAGAGAAGACACCACCTTTTTCAACTCCCAAAATCTGTGCCTCACAGGTACAGGGAATTTTATCCCGAATCCTAAGTAGGGATAAGTCAATGCATAACACGCATTGCCGGTTTAGTCTTTCACCGATTGAAGAAGACACCAGAATTCCAGTCTGGGAAATTTCATCCCGAAGCCTAAGGAGGGATGAGTCAGCACCTAATACGCGTTGCCGGTTAGTCTTTGACCGTAAAAAAGGATAAAAGACCACATATTCAACATTACGGCAGGTTGTTATTAATAACACCATAATCCGTGCCTCACACGCACGTGGAATTTTATCCCGAAGCCTAAGTAGGGATAAGTCAACGCCAAACACGCGTTGCCGGTTAGTCTTTTGCCGTGAAAAACGTTATGTGCAGAACGGATCTAAACAATCTGCATGCTAGCCCGATTCAAACGGTAATCGGTAAAGGCATATCAAACCCGTTGATGGCTGAGAATTTGCCAAAAATTCTATAAGTACGAGTCATCGATGCATCAGTTCTGTTAGTTGGTCTCATGACTCGATTATCCAACAACATTAAAATAAGATCCACAAATGCAGATGAATCAGCTTTAACAGTTGGTCCTGCAACCCCGACATTTGAGACCGCTATGCTCCAATACCTTAAGAGCTTAAACTGTGTATACTCCAGCAAACGTACGAGTATAAACTGTGTTAACGACGATTCGAAACCCTAGGGTCAACGCTGGTCAACGCGTAACCCTAGGTCAACGCCAGTCAACGCGTTGCGACCAAAAGTCAACGTTCGACGATTCAAAACCCTAGGGTCAACGCCAGTCAACGCGTAACCCTAGGTCAACGCCAGTCAACGCGTTGCGATCAAAAGTCAACGTTCGACGATTCAAAACCCTAGGGTCAACGCCAGTCAACGCGTAACCCTAGGTCAACGCCAGTCAACGCGTTGCGACCAAAAGTCAACGATCGACGATTCGAAACCCTAGGGTCAACGCCGGTCAACGCGTAACCCTAGGTCAACGCCAGTCAACGCCTTGCGACCAAAAGTCAACGATCGACGATTCGAAACCCTAAGGTCAACGTCGGTCAACGCGTAACCCTAGGTCAACGCCAGTCAACGCGTTGCGACAAAAAGTCAACGTACGATGATCTGAAACCCTAAGTCAGCACGATGTGACAGAGATAGTCAGTTCAAAGTCAACTCAATGACACGAGCCAAACTCAACTCACTGGTGGTAAGCTCGAGACTCCGATGACGGCCAAGCGATAAACGCAGCGCCGGAAGAACTTCGGTTATTCGTCAAAGCATCGAATAAACTGAAAATCGAAGGAGCCAAGAATTGAAGCTAACTGCAGGTCCTTTACACCGACTGAAGGCTGGATCAATCACATCCAAAGTATTCCAGCCTCTTCTATAAAAGAAAAGGCATTTTGACTCGCTCAAAAGCTATAAGCGAATGTGGTAATGTATGTTTGACCCTAGAGGGGGGGTAATTAGGGTCTAATGCTAATCAAATCTGATTTAAATGCTAATTAAAACTAATAAACAAGTTATCGTAGCAAGAATAAAATACAACAAGATATGTAAGGTAGGATAAGCAATATGAATTAAGAGATATATCCTATATGATAAAAAATATATGCAAGGATATATAAACTAGCACAAGATGATATATCCTAATGAACGATTGAAGTGAATCGACGAACTACGTAAGCTGATAGAATTTCGGAATAACGAAGGCACGGGCCGATCGGGAACCCTGCGATGTTCACAAAAAAAAACAACGCCCTTCATATCCCGTTCACTCTACAGATAATCCAACCATCGGAGCGGATAGAACTCTTCATCAAGCTTCCAACGCACTTAGAATCACTCAAATCCGAATTCGGACGAAGAATTTACGGCGGAAACAATCAAACATACGCAAAGCCTAGACACCCCTGGGGTGTCTCGGCTTTCCCGAGACACCTCGGGTGTCCCAGTTCAGCCTGAGACACCCCAGGGGTGTCCCAACGCCCTATGTGCCCTCATGCCTATAAATAGGAACCTTAGGCCTCACTGCCAAGACAATCACAAACACACAAAGATGATCACGGAGTTCGGACCTTCCGTCCTACGTCTCCGTTCCCTACTCCCGGGGAGAATCCACTATCACAACTGGGTTTTCTACGCTCACCCGAATAACATATACACCTCACAATTTCACTCACGGAGTTCGGTCCCCACGACCTACGTCTCCGCACCTCACCTCGAGGAGATCTCCACTAACACTCTCACAATGTGGCTACACTCCACCCTCACAATACGGCTTTCCCGAGACACCTCGGGTGTCCCAGTTCAGCCTGAGACACCCCAGGGGTGTCCCAACGCCCTATGTGCCCTCATGCCTATAAATAGGAACCTTAGGCCTCACTTTTTGAAGATCTGGATTTTTGGAGAGTTGGCGAAGCCCTGCTGCAGTGAAGAGTGGTCGAGCGCTTCAACACAAGAGAGGTCTTCATCAGATTTGCATTACCTGTGTCCGTTCCTTAGCATTACCCTTCGCCGGTAATCCTAAGAAGAGCAAATATCTCGCTTTAGCCGAGATAGGCGCTTCAAGCTTCTAGATCTCCCCGCGGATCGACGAAGCTCTGCCCGATTTTTCTGGATCAGATCTGATTGCCAGGTAGTCCACGGATATCGACGTCCCCGTCACAGGCCAAAGACCCACGCAAGCAGAAGACCGAAGAACGATCTCTGCGTTTGTTTGATAAAGTTGTAAACTTTTCTTTATTTTCATTGTGTAAAGAGATCTTATAAAAAGATCGACTTTTTATTTCATTCGAGTTTATTGTAACGACTAAAGTTGTAATAGATTCGATGGCAATGAAAACAGCAACTTTTACCGCAAACAATAACCCCATTACCTTGAAGATTTTTTAACATCATAATCAGAAAAGCATAAATACAGATGATACATTATGAATCTTTTCAAAAGAGAGATACTACAATTAAGTTTGTAGCATTAATAAAACTATTGTTATATTTACTATACAAACTATATAAAGCATTACTTTTGAAAAGGAAATGTACCTTGTTTTCCTTGTTGTAGTTGTTGGTTGTTTTTAATCTTTATACTTAGAAAAAATAAAAAAAATATAAAGTTAGTATCATCTCTTATGCAATTTTTCAAGGTAGCAATTATGCAATTTTATACTGAAGACCTATAAAAGGTCATGACTTTTCATCTAGAAAGAAACATTAGATAGACAACAGCCAAAAAATTGCGAAGCTCTGAAGATAAACTAATAAATTTGAAAACCATATCTTATCATAACCATAAATCATAAATGAATAAAATTGAAATATCATTGATGCAACAGACAAAATAGACCACAAGTATTTAACACACAAAACCATATCATTCACAAGGTCGATGTTAAAGAAACATAAATCATTTATAAGTATCAAGTCATTTATAAATCATTTATAAGTATCAAGTCAATTAAACAAAACCATATCTAGCAGCTATTTGGAAATTTCGTCAGGAGAAAAAAATGATTTTAGACGAGTCTTAGAAAAATAAATATCAAGTCAATTAAATAAATTTAGGTCTATGAGTTTGTGAATTGCAATGTTAGAAAATTTTATAAGTTTTTGTTGTTTTTATTAGCTTTTGTCACATAATTAAAGCTAATAAAAACAACAAAAACTTATAAAATTTTCTAACCTTGCAATTCACAAACTCATAGACCTAAATTTATTTATTTGACTTGATATTTATTTTTCTAATACTCGTCTCAAATCATTTTTTTCTCCTGGCGAAATTTCCAAATAGCTGCTAGAATGCTCATAGCTTCAGTAAACATTTTATCCGCTTCTTCTTCGTCTTTGATCTTAACAGCAAAAGAAACATTAACTTTAGCAGTAGTATGAGCATTTTTGCTAGGGACGTAATCAGGATCTGAATCTCTAACCTTCATTTTTTTGTTAACTTCATAAGAGCTTTCCTCATCATCATCATAATACTCCTTAATCGATGGTTCTTCTTCATCATCATATAGTTGAGCCGAAGTACCAATTGCTTGCTTGTTGGTTGAGTGACCCTCATTTAACATCTTTTTCTTCTCACCTTCATCGTCACTTGATGAAATTTCAATAATTTTTTGTCCTTAGCAAAAGTTTTAAACTCATATGGTTTGGGAGCTGATTTGTGTGCTGTGCGTTTTAACATCTGTTATGAAACAACAAAAGAAATTATTAATATAGCTATAATATAAGTCTTGACACTTTAGAGATCATATCGGTTGACGCGAACCCCATAACATGATTGGTACTCTTTCGTATTTGTTACTTTTAACTAATTACATTCTAATATGGAAATTGCTCTAGGACAATGAAGAATTTCTAACAAAAGATTACATTCAATACAAGGATTTCTAACAGAAAGTTATTGATAAGTCATTCTGCCTTGTAACTTGTATGGCTAGGTATAACAAAGGGCAAGCTTGAGTTATAAACATGAGCTTGCAGGCGAGGATCACTAAGTTTATTTTCAAATTGTTCAATCACAAAGAAGAAAACGGAAATAATACCTAATGGATATTAAAAATAGTCACTAAAATTAGTGAGCACCCCTGGTGTTCCTCCCAAAATGAAAAAAAAAAAATCTGTTTGAAACTAAATAACAATTATGAAGCCTACAGATACATACAAGGGAATAAGCTACAAGGCCCTCTTCTTTAATGAAACAACCATTGTATTATTATGAACTAAAATAATAATTATGAAGGCATACAATGCATGTCTAGCATGAGGCCTTAAGCTGTGACTTACACCACCAACCATAACACAGTCAACAAACAGAAGCAGATATGCATGATGTTTGTCAAAAGATTTACAAACGTTCTTCTTATAATACTAAATAAATGGTAGTGCTTGATCACCTACACGGTTAACCTACTGGCCTAAGAATAATAATATACAAAAGTATACTATATTACTATACCATTGACAAACACAGTAACATATGACAATTTTTCCCATAGTGCATGATGCATAAAAATGGACAATTAGTTATCTATGCATACAATAATTGGTATATAAGAGCTTTAAATGTTCTGATTATGATCAAATAGTTTGACCATGGCTTTTTACACTGAAAGCTATACAGAGCCTACTAATTAGTCATTCTACCTTGTAACTTGTATGGTATAACAAAGGGCAAGCTTGAGTTATAAATATGAGATTGCAAGAGACTAATTAGTAGTTTAATTAGGGGGCAAAGTGGGATGAAAAATAGGTAAGGGGGTAAGTAGGAGACGAGTTGAATAGTTTATGGCAGTATCTAGGGATTAAAAATATAGTTCGGAGGGTAAGAATGGAAAAAGTTAATAGTTCAAGGGGCAAATAGGACAGGGAACCTGATTAGTATAAACTGGTTGTATTTTAAACAAAAATTGAAATGTACCGAACTCCTGGATAAAACATCGATGCACAAACCCCTGGATAAATCATCAATGTATCACTATTGCATCAACAAGACATTTTTATAATATGGTGTTATTTCAACTAAAAAGACAATAATCTTTCAAAGAAAAAAGAAAATATGTAATGGGGAAATAAAAAACAGTTCGTTCTATGAAGAACATAAAAAAATTTTGAAAATGTCACAACTAACTCTTAAAATTTAATTGATCATAATCTTGATGTACAGAATATGGGTAGATGCAGTAAATCTGTAATCCTTTATTAAAATGCTGAAAATAATGAATACAGGTCGGAAAACTTGAAACTTGAACTGCAAAGGATCAAAAACATCATAACCAGCAAAATTTTGTTAACTGAACCATTTAGTTTAACGTGTAGGATTATCACTAAATAAATTATAAATGTCATCTAAAAGTTCCTCTTGAGATAACAGAGATAACAAAAAAATTGTAAAATTACCTTGATAGCTTTGTACTCCTCCTATCAACCTCAGATTCCTAACATCATCAATCATCAATACAAAAAAGAAGGTAAGTCATGAACCAATCAACCAATCAACAAGCTACCACAGAGTAAGAAATAAAAATAGGGAAATAGTAATAATAACAATAAATAATAAGAATAACCACAAGTTAAAATTGAAAATAAACACCGTCTTTGCTCCATCCAAACTAAAGCAATACGTTTACAACCACAAAACAACCTAAAATTTCAGTTAAGATATGTAAAGCCCTAGAAATTAGTATCGTTTATAATAACGACAATATTGAGGGGGTTAAAAAACGAACGAAATTGAGGTAAGAGGAGAGGCAGGTGGGGGTGGAGAAAAGGAAGAATCAGAAAAATTTGAGAGGAAGAGGCAGGGGCGGGGGTTGAGAAAAGGAAGAATCTGAAGAGGCATAAGGGGCGGGTGGGTGGAGCGGTAGAGGAGAGGGGGAAGAAGGGGGAAAGAGGGGGGGGGGGGGGGGGGGGGATGAAGAGGCAGGGGGATTCATCCGTTTCTCAATGGTTGAGAAACGAAATTTTGACACTTATTTTCTCTTTAAGTAGTAGTATAGATTTAGATATTTAAATGTCAAAATAATATTTGGAATATATTTGTGCAAGGTCATATCATCTATAAGGTATTTACGTGCTAAAGAAGATATTCATATGCAAGCCAAACAAAATTGAGCTTTTTTAAATTTTCTTTGTAAGAGAGTCAACAACTAAAATGATTATTTAAATTTTACTAAAATGATTATTTGGACTCTAGCTTTTTTAATTTTCTTCTCCATCTTTTTTGTTGAAGATATCTTGGAAATCTTGAAGAAAAATCTGATTTTTCATACTTCGAAGTAAAAAAAAAAAGCTAGCTCTTCAGGCTTTAGCCTCTCCAAAGAATTAAGAAAAAAGAAAAGAAAAGAAAAAATCATCTCTCTTTTTCGTTTGCTAGATTCATTTGTTCCTTGCATATAATAACCACTTGTTGTAGATGCTAATAACATCTACGTCTTCAGCTTAATTTTGGTGATGACTACAGTTATATATGTTGTCTCCATTACTCCTGATTGTTATAAAAATTAAAAAAGAGAAATAAAATCAGAATTTAGATATACTTAGATATACTCTTCTTGGTAGAAATAAGGGGGAAATTGCAGTGGAAAAATAAAGAAATGTAAATGTATGGAAAATGAAGATGAGCTACATACTCGAGGATGCATAGATACGAGACAGATCACGCGTTTAGAGTCTTAGCCGCACTGCGTACCAAAACGAGAGGTGATTAATTTGATCACGTCTCGTAATTGGTCTCACCGGCTTCCTGCGCTTAGGTATGGATGGTACGGGACTAATTTTTTTTTTTTTTTTAGAGAGAGAAGAAACCAAGGTACGTGGAGCTCTAATTGAGAAAAAAACATTTCCTCTCTCCCCCACTACGCTTCAAGGCCACAGCCTTTTTATAGGCTTATATTTGGCTGTAGGCGTTGCAAAATTAAGTTTCTCCCAACTGTGCAATTATTGTCATTGGTCAGTTACGGAAATCATTTATTACATATTAATTGCTTTTCTTTTCTGGTACGTTTTGATTTTGTTTTGTTAAGTACTTCTTAATGCTATGGCGAAGGTTACGCTGGTGACTCGTGAACAACGTGCGACCTAGCTTGTCGTAGTCAACCTTGAAATATGGGACGCGCGCATGAAGAAAGACTTACGGATATGGATAGATCGTGCAAACTTAAATTCTTCAAAATTGGAATTGAATTATATTCCTTTATTGTTTGACAATGCAGCAATCACCGCAACGACCAGGGGATAATAACACTGCTTATTTCCATAAAATTGCTAATGGTAGAAAAAGGAATAATTTGATTGCGTCAATTTCTGAAGATAATGTGGTGGTGAGCTCTGAAGAAGGAATAGCTCAAATTTTTTTAAATTATTATGAAAAGATTTTTGGACAGAGAGAGCCTTATAGATGTCAGCTTGAGTGGAATAAACTTTTCCCTGTGGTTGAATGGGGTCCTAATGATATTGAAACTCCTTTTACTTAAGAGGAAGTTTATAAAGCAGTATTTGATATGAATGGGGATAAATCCCCTGGTCCAGATGGATTCCCTGCTTTATTTTTTCAAGTCTTTTGGGATACGGTGAAAATAGATATTATGAAGTTCTTTGAGGAGTTTTATGAGGGTAAGTTGGAAATTAATAGGCTCAATTATGCCTATATTGTGCTTATTCTAAAAAAGAATGGGGCTGTCACAGTTAATGACTATAGACCTATCAGTCTTCTAAATGTTATTTTTAAAGTGATTACCAAGGTTTTGACAAATAGATTAAATGCTAAATTGGAATGGCTTATTGATCCTGTCCAATCTGGTTTTATCAAACACAGATTTTTGCTGGATTGAGTGGCTGCAGCCCAGGAGATTATTTCTGATTGTTTTCAGAATAAAAAAAGGAGGAATTTTATTAAAACTAGATTTCATGAAAGCTTATGATATATTGGATTGGGATTTTATTATAGAGGTGTTGAAGGCAAAAAAGTTTGGTGTTAAATGGATAAAATGGATCAATTTGTGTTTAAATGGAGGTATGTCTGCCATTAATGTTAATGGTAAGCTTGGGAGGTGAATTATGTCCAAAAGAGGTGTTCGTCAAGGAGATCCTTTGTCACCCCTTCTTTTTGTCCTAGCAGCTGATTCTTTCACCAGAATGTTGAATCTTGCAGTTGATTCTCAACTTATTGAAGGTTTAGGTCCTCCTAATATGACTCACAAAGTTTGCTGCTTACAATATGCAGATGATACGCTGATATTTTGCAAAAATAAAAAAGAACAGCTGACAGTTTTAAAGCTGATTTTATACTTTTTGAACTTGCTTCTGGTTTAAAAATAAGTTTTAACAAGAGTTTTCTTATAGCTCTTGAGAATAATGATTCTTTACAATAAAGCTTGGCCACTATGTTGAATTGTAAAAGTGGGAGCTTTCCCATTACTTATTTGGGGATTCCTTTGAGGCCTGAAAAATTAAAAAAAGATGATTGGTCTCCTTTGATTAAAAAAATTGAGAGAAGGATGGCTTTGTGGAAAGGCAAAACTTTGTCTAGAGGGGGTAGACTGGTTTTAATTAACTCAGTTCTATCTTCCGATGCCTAATTTCTGGTTATCCTTTTTCTTATTCCCTTCATGGGTTATTAATAAAATTGATAGGATGAGAAGAAGATTTTTATGGATTGAATCTTTAGATCATAAGAGTTGTACAAATTTGATCAAGTGGGAGGAGATATGTAGACCTAAGTTGTTTGGTGGACTGGGAATTATAAATCTAAAAACTATGAACAAAGCATTATTAGGGAAATGGTTTTGGAAATGGTTTGAGAATAAACAGGTGCTTTGGAAACAGATCAGTTTTTATAAATATTATGAAAGAAAAGATTAGACAGGATTCTTTCATTCAAGTAGAGGTCAGTTATCTTATTTTTGGAAAAATCTTTTTCTCAATGTTGATAGTTTCCTATGCAGTACTCGTGTGGAGGTGGGAGAAGGAAAACATACTTTATTTTGGCTTGATAAATGGTTAGACTCATATACCCTTGCTTCTTTATACCCATCCCTCTTTATTATCACTTCTTCTCCTTATGCTTCTGTTAGCAATCTGAGGAAAAAAAAGGAATAACAATTGGATATGGGATATTAAGTTCAAGAGGCAATTGACAGGAAGTTTGGTTTTTCAGTTTTTGAATTTACTGAATCTTATCAAGGATATAATTTTTGATCAAAAAGAAGACAACAGAATTTGATTGTGGGAAGCAAATGGTATTTTCTCTGTTAAATCTTTCTATCAATTTCTTATTGATGGAGGTTTACGTTCTGATTGTGCAGACATTTGGAAGCTTTCCATTCCTTTAAAAGTGAAACTTATGGTTTGGCTAGCTTTAAGACAAAGTTTAAATACAAAAGATATTTTGGCTAAAAAAGGAATTCAGTTAGAGCTGAATTGTGTTTTGTGTTCTAAAGTTGAAGAGAGTCATACTCATCTGTTTGTTGAATGTGAGTTTGTATTCTCACTTTGGAGATCTATTCAGTTCAAATTAAAAATTGGAAAAGACTTCAAAATGAAATCCTTAAAAGAAGTGTGGATTAATTGGACCGCTGGGGGAAATAAGGACTGCAAGATGGAAAGAGACGTTATTTTTTGTGCTCTTATTTGGTGCATATGGCAGGAGCGTAATGATATACTCTTTTCTAACAAGAAGAAAAGAGCGTTGGAGATTTTGAATAACATTATGACTTTTTCTACATTTTGGCTAGGTTCTAAAATCATAGGTAGAGTGGCCAGATTGCTAGCATGAAGAAGGAAGAAGAATGAGAGATTAGGAGAATTACAGTCAGTTGGAGCTGCAGGAGAGGAGGAAAGTATCGTGATTCAGCTGGATTAATCTCAATCTACAGTGGTTTAGTTGATATTTTGATGAGTAAGACTGTTGTTGAATATGATACTTACTTTTGTGGTAGTTAAGTTTTCTTTTGGGAGTTTTAACCTTTGTACAAAAGGGTTTTGATGCTTTTGTATTTTCAGTTGACTTTTTGTGCACATTTTTGGTTAGAATGTGCACTTTATATGTAACAACCAGTTTATTAATTTAGCTGGCTGGATTACTATATTGTAATCCATCCTTTTTCTCAAAAAAAAAAAAATTTCCAATTTTGAAGTCTATGAGAAAGATTATATTTTTAACACAATAGTCTTAGCTTCACATGGATAACACCAAATTACTCCATTAATCTCTTCAAATTGAGTGCACCGAATCAACGTATTAATATTTGTATACAGCTTTCCTAAAAGTCTCTTTAATTTGCCATACGTACTAAGGGCTAGTTTGGTATTAATTTTTTAGGGTATTTCTATTTATTTTTTCAAAAAGCAGCTAATAATAATGTTTGGTGAAAACTTTTTTAACATGCTTATTAAAACCGCTTCTCCTTTTAAGGGGGTACTGTTCGTTGGAAAAATTGTTTTCTTCATTGATGATTCCATTGATTACTTTGTTAACAGTTTATCGGTTACAAAGATCCGGTCTTTTTATAAGATCCGGTTACAACAAAATCAAAAAAAGAAATAAAAATTACAACTTTCCTTTTATGTCGAACGAATCGCGAGATCCTGTTTTGCGGTCTCTCGCTTTTGTGGGTTCTTTGCTTGCACCGGGGTTAATCCGTGGACCACCGCGCGATCTTAATCCGGTCGGATCTACACGGTATAGCGGGTGTTATTTCACGAAAGAAATAACAGCCGAGGGGATTACTTCACCAAGGAAATAATAGCCCTAAGTAATCGAAATCGACCAAGCGAAATCAATACTCTTCTCGGGATCAAAAACCAAGTTTTGATCCGGAGGATGACCGTGTAGATCTCAGATCTGATCTCTCTCGAACTCCTGCCTTATTTGGCGTGGATAATCGCCAAGAACCAGATCTGAAAAGTCCTAGTCCTCAAAGTTCCAAAGTTCCAATCTTTTTTAGTCTTGAGTCTTTAATCCAGCAGAGTTTCCCCTCTCCAAAGTCCAACCCCTCAAATCCAATCTTTTTTAGTCTTGAGTCTTTAATCCAGCAGAGTTTCCCCTCTCCAAAGTCCAACCCCTCAAAAATGAGCCCCCCTAGCCTATTTATAGGCACTCAGAACTGTGCCTTGGCACAGGTGACCGAGGCATCGAGCCACCAAAAGGTGGTCGAGGTACCGAGCCACCAAAAGGTGGCCGAGGCACCTAGCCACCAAAAGGTGGCCGAGGCACCGAGCCACCTAGAGGTGGCTCGGTTTTGGCCGAGTCCTCCAAATATTGGTTTTTTTTGTTTTCCGGTTTATCCGAACTCTGATTTGTTGATCTGAACTCTGATTTGGCAGTCCGGATCCTGATTTGGCAGTAAATCCGCTTCGGTGTTCGAGTTCAAATCCGTTCTACGGTTGGATGACCCGTTGACTCACCGAACCGTTAGCTTGATTCCGCACGCGAATGGATGCATTCCGTTGCTTGCGTGCGATTCGTTAACCTCGTCGCCTCGTTAATCCGCTTCGTTGCGTGTCACTTGGCTTCGGTGTTGTGGATTGGCGCTCATGTTTAGATACGTCACCCGATGGTTCGTTGGTTTGTCGAATCACCGTGCTGAGCTGTGCTAAGGGACACATAGGCAGTTTTATACGTCTACAAATACCCCCTCCAAAGTATTTCAGCCTCGTTCTTTTATAGAAGAGTCTGTAATACTTTGGATATGATTGTCCCAACCTTCAATCGGTATAACGGGACCTTGAAATGGCTTCTGTTCTTGATTCTTTCAAT